GCTATTTAAATAAAATAAAATTATAACTATTTTAATTAATTTAAATTATTAAATTAACATATAAATTAATATTTTATTTAACATAATTTAAGATTCTAATTTTTAAATTTTTATAAATGGTAGAAATAACTAGAGTAAGAAAATAATGTCATAATTTATTAAACAATTTGTTGAATATATTAAGATTTATTAAAATAAGAATATTTTTATTTACCTCACATAATTACCAGTTTCTACAAAATTCTTTGTGTAAGGATAGTCAGCAAATAATTAATTTATCTAATCATCTGAAATATTTTCCTTACTAAATATTAGATTGATAGAAAAAAGTAATTATGTAATTTAAGATAATAAAGTTAAATTATTACTTAAGATTTAATACTAAAGATTCTAATTTTTAGCATTATACTAAACAATTGTTAAGTTAAGCAACTTATTCGTTACTAAGAGTACAATTTCTATTTATTTTATAAATAATAATAAAAGAATTTAATTTATGAATAAATTAATGAATGAAATTTTATTTAATCTTAATTTTGTAATAGAAAAGATAAAAAATTTAAAAATATTTATTTTTATTAAATAAAATATTGCTTATTTTGATAAATTTATGATTAAATATGAATGAATGAATAAATATATATATATTTCTTACTTTAATTGTAGGTCAATATGAGTTAGAGCATTCAAATCAGATTTCATTAACTGTTTGTTTAAAAAAATGATTTTATAATAATAAACAAAATGAATAATGATGGTTACATCTTATAGAATACTTAAAGATTTATTTTATTACTTCCTTTTTTTTTATTGATTTTCCATTTATATTTCTTTGATTATTTATTTATTTATTAATTAATTAATTATGATCAGAAATTAATAATTTTGATTTATTTAAAAAAATTATTGATTTTCTTTTTTAAATATTCTTATTTACTTTGTACTATTCTAAAAAAATATACAGTAGATTCTCCTATATTAGCACCCATAAATACATATTAACACCCATATTTTGATAATTTTTAGAAATTTGCCTAAATACATAAAAAATAATTTTATTCTAATGAGTACGCATTTTAATTATCCTTTATATCTAATCTCTAATTCCTACTATATTTTTAAGTAAATATTTTAAATAAAGATATTAAGATTTAATAACTAACTTTACACTAACTTTTTTGTGATTTCTTTTTCTAAAAGTAAATTTATAAATTAATTTATTTTATTCATTTTTTTATTCACTTTTAATTAATAAA